GATGCGTGAAAACCAAACTCAAAGACCACAAAAATTAAATGTATGGTCAGGTATAGTAGGTACTACTCAGTTAATTGGGCCATTTTTTATCGAAGGAAATTTAACTTAAGATAGTTACGAAATGTTACTTAGAAATGAAATTGTACCTACACTGATAAACTTGTTTGGTGCCAATTTTAATTAGATATGGGCAAGATGGAGCTCTAGCTCATTTTGGAGTTAATGCTCGGGGTTATTTAGAAGAGATATTTCCAGGACGATGGATCGATAGACGAGGTAGAATTGAATAGTCTCCACGTTCACCTGATTTCAATCCTAAAGATTATTTTTATTGGGGACACTTGAAAAATTCAGTTTACAAAACTAAACCAACAAGTCTTGCAGAACTAAGGCAACGAAAAATCGATGAATCTCGAATAAATTCTAGACAATCATGGAAAAATGTGGTAGACGCATTCTACCATCGATTGGGGTACTGTCAACTCACAAATGGAGCACATTTTGAACACTTGATAAAGTAACCATTGTGTTAAAAAATGTTGTAATCTATCAATTGTTACGATTTAATGTAGTTAAAAATAGTTAGTATTAAAAAATTTATTGAGACAATTAGGCGTTGCCAGACTTCTGTTTTATGTATTTAGGACCTTCCTGACTACATAAAATCATAAGTGTTACATATGGTTGAACTCGTATTGAAAAGGAGATTCCAATAATGAGTGAATATACAGGGTGATGAATTTCAAAAATCAAAGTTACTAATAATATAAGAGAAACGGCAAATCTGGCAACATTGCAAATATCAAATATGGAATCTCCGGATCTCAAAATAGGTGTACCTCAAATTTTGTATTATTATGTATGGTATTTTACGAGATAATTGGCCGTTTCCAGACTTTTGAGCCACTCTGTATATTGAGCTTTACTGCACGTTTTTATTTTTTTAATGTTTCTGGAGATCGTGAACAGTTCTGTTTGCTATTGCTATGCGTCTTTTTATTTCGTCACTTGTCGTGTTTGTTGCGTTTACTGGCGATCCAAGATATGTGAATTCTTTGACTTGCTCAAAGGTATGATTGTTAATTTGAATTCTCGGTTGGATATTTCGGGGGCTTTTAGAAAACAACATATATTTGGTTTTTTTCCGCAAGCCTTGTAAAACACTACATCATGTCTCTCATACTTCTGCCTACTACAACTATATCGTCAGAGAATGTGAGAATTTGCGTCGATCTATTAAAAATAGTTCCATTTATTCTAATATTTAATTATCTGATTGCCTTTTCCAAGGCAATATTAAAGAGTAGACACGCCAACGCGTCCCCCTATCTTGGACCATTATTAATGTCAAAGAACGTAGAGTTTTCTCCTTTAATTCTAACGCATGAGCTTAAGTTTTACATTGTTAGTTGGGTCAACTTAACTAACTTAGGTGGGATCCCAAAGTCTATCATTGCGTTTTATTCTGCAGTTCTTTTCACACTTTCATAGGCTACTTTGAAGTCGACGAAGAGATGGTGTATATCTATGTTATACTCTGGTGACTTTTCTAGAATCTGCCTATGTGCTTGAATTTGACGTGTAGTTGACTTTTCAGCAGTAAATCAACATTGATATTGACCAACAATATCCTTTGTAAAATGTTTAAGTCTTTGAAACAATACATTGCCGAAGATTTTATACGCAGATGTTAACAGAGTAATGCCTCTATAGTTCTTACACTCCAGTTGATCACCCTTTTTATGCAACGGATATATTATTCCCTTTAGCCACTCTTCTGGTACCAATTCATTCTGGCATATAAGTACTATTAGTTTATGGGCTGCTGAAAAAGATTGATCACCACCTTTTTTATACATTTCCGAACAGATTTAATCGATTCCTGGGGCTTCATTGTCTTTGAGTTTTAGGATAACATTTGACACTTCTTCTCTTGTTAGGTCTTTACTGTGTAGTCGATATTGTAGATTTTGTTGATTGTCTATGTTGTAACCTCCTTCAATATCGTTTATATTTAGATGTTTGCTGAAATGTTGTGTCCATCTATTAAGAACAAATTTTTATCATGTAGAATTTTACCGTTAGTGTCTTTACAAATTTTTAATCGTGGTTTAAATTCTCAACGGCCATTATTTAAGTATTTGTAGTATTTTCCTGTTTCATTTTTATCGAATAAACTTTGTATCTCATTGAGAGTGTTCTGTTCATATTCCCTCTTCTTACGTTGATGGATACGTTTTTCCTCTCTTCTAAGACGTCTATACTCTTCTTTTTTTCTCCGGTACATCCTGCGTCGATGGTTTTTTGATATGCTGCGTTTTTTCTATTTGTGGCCATTTAGCACTCATGATCAAACCAATGATTTATTTGTTTTTCTGACTTGGTTTTGCCCAATAATTCAACCAATTTCTGTAACATAATATCTCGTATATTTGCCCATAGTTGGTTAATAAATTCTTCTTCTAAGTTTTCTGTCCTTATTTGATCTTCTATTTTCTGCCTGTATACATTTGCAATGTCGGGATCTTTTAGTTTATTATTGTCGATTTTTTCTCTTCTTTTCCCGATCTTCTTTTTTAAATTTTATATTCTCTCTTTAAATCGTAATTCGAGACCCTATAAAAGGCTTTTAATATATTATAACTACTCATATATACTCGAATGCGTACTCTATAGTTTAAATATTTTAATCAAGCTTTCAAAACCATTATATAACAAATAACAGTTTACCGATAATAAAAAATGAAGGTATGCTAAATATGTATCTGGAACGCATTGTTCAACTACATTTATTATTACAATCTATGTATAATATGCTAAGTAGGTTTATCTGAAAATATTAAAAACTATATTATTTACTTGGAAGTATTATTTGAAAGAAGCCCCTGAAAGTAGGGCACCTAGAAAAAAACTAGAATATAAATTTAGACCAAGGTAACACTAACTTAATTTCATAACTATGTATAACTTTGTTTTCCACTTTTCACTTTTTAGTTATGGACTGCAACATGTGAATCAACCGTAGGGGAGACTGGGAAAGTTTGACGAAAGGTAGTAGACTTCTAAAAAATATAATAAAGGAATTCCAAAAGCTGTACTACCTGTCCACATTTACTTTGTCTCTTGAGAAGCAGAGCGATTTTTGATGGGCCAGGGTAGGGAGACACTTTTTTCTCTCAGCGGCGAGACAATATTTCTATATTTGTTGGTTCCTATCTTCTCTGTTGCTACTGCTAATTGCTACCAGGCAATAGATCTTTGGCCAGTGTTTTTCTGCTTCCTCTAATATTCTTTACCTTTAAAAAATCAGCGGAGACTTCCTAAGTAATTTCGATACCATAGAAAAGTGATCAGTGTGACCCATGGACGTATAAACACAGATGGACTCAGTTATTTACATAAAATTGTGAAGTCAAAATTATTTGAATAGGTCACATTCTCAGCACCTTCAGCTGTTGTCACGTTTTGTTTTAAAATTTCTTATTCGCGAGTCGCTGAAAATATTACTCCGTATTTTGTACTCTACAGGTGCCATAAAACCAAAATAATAATTTATTGGTTAGATTAATATATTTAATTGTAATCAAAATATAAAGTGTGCACATAGTGTGCATTATCATTTAATAATAACGTATAATTTAGGTATCAATCAATTATTTTATATGTAGAAGCACTGAAAACTATTTAAAAATGGCAACGGTTGTTTACATTTCTCTGTCTTATGGATCTACGTCAAACTTCAAATGCTCTTCCATGTTTGTTTACTTTTTAGTAAAAGTTGTTTTTCGATATTTTGGTTGTATTTTGAGTAATATTTGTGAAAAGTGAAATAAAATAAACGAAATATTTACATCCCGATCTCTCATTTCATTTGTAAGTACATAAAATTTACATTATTTAAGATGAGGAAATGAGGAAGCGTGTTTGTTTACATTTTAATAGGCGTACCATTGGGTTTATTCATGTTCATTAATGTATTAAATAAGATATAAGTTCATGAAATTAGTAGACATTTTTAAATTGTAAGTAGACATCATCTGATTAAAAAAGATCTATTTAGTACCTTTTTAATTTAATATTTCTCATGGATGCAAATAAATTAGTGAAATGAATAAATCTCATTTATTTTTCTATGTATGTTTCCAAATAATATTGACGATCGAACTATTTTGGTAGCAAATTTAGGAGAAAACATAAAGATTTTTGATTGTAGCATTATTTTGATACCTATTAAAAATTAACTTGAATTCAACTATATTTTATTGTATTAATTTTAAAGCAAATAAAATTGTATCTTAATTTTTCTATAAAGACGTGATTTGTTAATAGTTAAACTCTCGTTTTTTTAAATTCTTTGAACGTGTTTTTATACATTATTACTACTTCCAATTTTTAAAATCTGAATAATTACCCGCGAGTAATAATTCAAGCACGCTTATGCTCATTGCGGAAGCATCACATTCTATCGAAGCTTCAAAACATTGTGTGTTAAAGGTATCTTATTGCTATGTCCATCTATGTTTATACGTCCATGGTGTGACCAATATCATCATGAACTCTCCATTGGTAGAGACCAATGTTTGAGAAGATATGGCGTTGTCCACTGCACTATGTATTACAGCTGTTGTTCTGCTTGTTCATTGGCGAATTAATACCTCTGTGGAAGGTTGTCACTCCAACTTTTGCGTGATTGTTGCGAGTTGATTGCGAGTTGTGAACAGATTAATGGCATTTCAGTTAATTTCAATGGGGGAAAATTACTGTAATATACGAGCAATTTGACATACGAGCAAGATTACGGAACAAATTACACTTGTATGTTGAGGAACCACTGTATTTCATTTTCATTTTGGTCAAAAAAAGTTCAGAATCTACGTCCACACCACAGTAGATTTTTACATTCGTTATTATTTAATTTGAGATGTATAAAAATGTCGTCTATTTGATTTATCTCTTTAGGACTTATTGTTTATTAATTTTTATCTTTTTTTTTTACTTTTAGGTGATGAAGGGCAAATCTACGAAGTCGACGGCAAAGGCAGCTTGGTGCTGCAACAACAGTGGGCGACTTTGACTGCCAGCATGTTCCCAGAGCCCACAACGGCCTCAACCAGAGGCTGGAAGATATCTTCCGAGCGATTGCCGATTTTAGCTGCTGTGTTTTGCGGAGCTGCCTTAGTTGTTTGTCTGTTCTGCGCTTTCTTTCTCTACCGTTGCTGTGTCATGCCTCGCAGGGACAAAAATTTCAGTAAGTGATATTCAGTAAATAATATAAAAATCGTTATCGTATTTGTAGGTACACAAATATTAATTGACACCAATGAACATCATGTTTTAACCAAAATTTTCTATCTTTGATAAAATAATTACTACTAAACAAAACATAAATTAGACTTGTTAGTAAAAAGATATTTTGGTTTAAAAATTAAACATGTCTTGTTTTGCACGCGAGAATTGCACATGTCTGTTTATGCGTCTAAATGAACCTCAACTGATTTTGTATTTCTTATAACATTGATATCCTCGTGTGTGATACTTACAAAAAAGGGTCGTTATAAAATAAAACTAAATTTAAAAAATATGGCTTTTAATGAATATATAAACAAAAACTAAATTATTATATATTCATCTTCAGTATCAGATGAATTAATCATACTTTCGTCTTCTGTGCCTTCGAGATGATATTTCGTACCCTCAGGATGATCTTCCGCCTGATTAGTGTTTCCAAGTAGTTAAAAGCTTTTGTGAAGAAATGAAATATTTTATTACTATTACTGATGGAAGAAAGAAGGAAATATAAAGGAAAAGATCTACAGAAGTATAAAGAAATACACGAATAATTAAGGAAAAAATCAAAACAGCTAAGGAAATCTATTTGATGATGTTTTTTAATGTACACAAAAAGATTAAAGAAATGACAGGAAGGAGAAGAACAACACAGACAGGACAGATCAAAGATACAGATGGTATAATTATAACAGATTTACAACAAAAAATGAACCGATGGACAGAATACATATCACAACTGTTTGATGACAAAGATAGACAAGAAATCTCAAACGAATATACAGATGATACAGGGCCTGATATAATCAGAGAAGAAATAGAATATGCAATCAAACAAGCAAAAAGTGGTAAGGCCCCTGGTCCTGATGAAATTCCCGTAGAACTGCTCAAACTTATGGACGATGAATCTATTAAAATACTCCTAGATCTACACACACTCAAAAATGTTTTGCATATTATCTGTAACGCCACTGAACGTTTCCAATTTGAAATTTTTTGCACTGATTTTTTTTTGTCTACTAAAATAATGTATTTTACTGATTGTTTTTTGTTTTTTAATCGTCGCAGAGATTCTTAGAATTCATATTGTGTTCATCAGTTTTCGAAAACCGATATTTGTAAAAATTGGTTTGCGTTTTATTCACTTTGTAGTAAACAATATGAATGGGCAAGTGATATCTGAGTCCAACAGAGCTAGAATCGTTACTTTGATTGAGGAAGGCCACACACAAGTCGACGTTGCTGTCCAGGTTGGAGTTAACCAGAGTGATATGTCTCGGATTGTGAAAAAATATTGAGAGACGAATTCTGTTAGCGATCGTCCAAAAAGCGGAAGACCCAGAATTACTACCAATGTCCAAGAACGCTTTTTAACGTTAACTGCCCGGAGAATCCCCTCTATGACTGCCCCAGCTATTAGAAGAGAGCTCCAGCAAGCTCATAATATTGTAATTTTACGATCAGACTATTAGAAACAGGTTACATTCGGCGAATTTATTTACAAGAAGACCATTGTTTGTACCAAAGCTTACGTTAGAGCAGAAAAGGACTCGACTGGAATGGGCCAATGAACATTTACAATGGCATGACAACAGATGGGGAAAGGTCTTATTTTCTGATGAAACCAAAATTAGCCTTTTGTCGGATAATTGCCGAATTAGGATTTGGAGGAACCCAAATCGACAGGATAAACTTAAACAAGTTGTCCAAAGAATCCCATATCAAGACGGCTCCATAATGTTTTGGGGCGGCATCATGCTAAATAATAAAACTCCTTTAATTCCTATCGTTGGTAACATGAATGGACAAATTTATATTAATACCATTCTTAGGCCTGTTGTACGCTTGTGGCGAGAAGCTGTTGGTCCAGAATTTATTTTAATGGACGACAATGCGCCTCCCCATCGTACGAGACAGCTAGCAGATTTTTTAGAGACAGAAGATATCGTCAGATTACAATGGCCACCTTGCTCACCTGACCTTAATCCCATTGAGCACGGATGGGATATGCTCAAAAGAAAAATTCAGTCCCGGCAGCCACCCCCAAGGACACTACAAGACCTTAGAATAGCAGCGATTAAAGAATGGGGCACCATGGACCAGAACTACGTTAATACACTTATTAGAAACATGGGACATCGCATTCAGTCTTGCGTTGATGCAAGAGGTGGAAATACGGCATATTACGTATTAGTTCTTATATCTGTACAAATTTAAAAAAATATATTTATAATACATATTATACATAATAATAATAAATTGTTAATTCTTTAAATTTTGTTGATTGTTTCTTTTTCAAAACAAACAATTTAATATATAATAAAGTATTTTGTTAAAAAACAAATAGATTTCACCAGATTTGGTGGATAATTTTGAAAATATTACATTATGCAAAACATTTTTGAGTGTGTGTATATATAGAACTGGAATAATACCTAGGGAATGGCTCCGTTCGACCTTTATACTACTGCCAAAAAAGGCAAATACAAAGGAATGCAACGAATATCGTACGATAGCTTTGATGAGTCATGCTCTAAAACTGTTCTTAAAAATAATCCATAATAGGATCTATAGGAAATTAGACGTAGACATCAGTAACACTCAGATGGGATTCAGAAAAGGGCTGGGTACAAGGGAGGCCCTGTTTGCCATGAACGTTCTCTCACAGAGATGCTTAGACATGAACCAAGATATTTACGCCTGCTTTATTGATTTCGAAAAGGCCTTTGACAAAGTACAACATGAACCACTAAGACAAGTTCTAATAAAGAAAAATATAGACAGCCGAGATATTCGAATTATATGCAATCTATATTGGAATCAAACAGCAAATGCCAAGGTTGAGGGCAGACTAACAGAAGAAATTCAAATCCGTCGAGGAGTCCGGCAGGGATGTATCTTATCGCCACTTTTATTTAATCTGTATAGTGAAGCTATCTGTGAACAAGCACTCGAGGAAGAAGATCTTGGTCTGATAATAAATGGTGAGACGATCAACAATATAAGGTATGTTGACGATACAGTTCTCCTAACGGGAACGCTAGTAGAACTACAACATCTCGTTCAAAGTCTCAATATATACTGTAACAGTTACGGCTTGAAAATTAATTTGAAAAAAACTAAATTTATGGTAATCACGAAATCAAAGAACATCAGAGCTAATCTTGTAATAGACAATACAACAATTGGATCACAGACGATACTGATCAAACAAAAGAGATTAGATGTAGAATAGAAATCGCTAGATCAGTCTTTAATAGAATGCGCAAACCTGATATGCAATCGTGATATCAATATAAGTTACGAATACGAATGCTGCGGTGTTATGTCTTTTCTTCCCTGTTATATGGAGTTGAGGCTTGGACACTAAAACAGTTGTCCATAAAAAACATCAAAGCTTTCGAGATGTGGTGCTATAGGCGCATTCTCAGAATATCATGGATGGACCGCGTCACTAACACGCAAGTACTCCAAACTTTAGACAAAAGATGCGAAATTCTAAATGAGATAAAAACTAGAAAGATGGAATACTTGGTGCACATTGTGAGAGGTGAAAAGTACGAACTTTTAAGAAACATCATGCAGGGCAAAATTAAGGGCAAAATAAGTGTGAGAAGAAGAAAAATATCGTGGCTTCGTAATCTACGTGAATGGTTCGGGTGTAGTTCGATTGAACTTTTTAGGCGCGCTGCTAACAAAGTCGCAGTGGCCATGATGGTTTTCAATCTTCGCTAGGAGTGGCACGAGAAGAAGAAGAAGTCGATCATTCTCTGACCATAATATAAACGATTTTACTGATGCAGGATTAAGTGGGGACTTTGAACTTACTGTTACAACTGTAAAATTGTACAAATTTATTTGTATACTAAAATAGTAGGACTGGTTTGGAATATTTGGTAGTGGTAGATGCTTTTAGAATCAAAGGAAAATATTGCTACTGTGCGATTGTCTTCTCTTAATAACTCATAAAACGCTTTACTACGCAGTTTGTGTACGCGCTATTCTGTTATTATGTTTAGTTTTTCTTGTGGGTTTGTGATTTTTTTCATTTTTTTCTGAAAATTAGAGACATTGTGAACATACTTCAACTTTTGATGTTCCAAAGCCAATGCTTTATTGTCGTACAAAAATATTTCTGAAGCAACACTGTCTTACTTTTAGATGCTCTTCCGTTGTAGAATTATACATCTTCTACAGTTTCGATATATTTAGTTCACAAGGCAAATATCGTCTAACAACTGTTTTATTCCTGACATAATAAGTTTCGCATCAAGTAATAGATTCAATGAAATGTGTTACAGCTTGCTTTTTACAAATTAATTTTTGTGAAGTTCTGTCACAGGAAGCAAATTCCTAGGAACGCGTGAAGCTCTTTTTTTCACTTAATATACTGATACAAAGATGCCTGGACGTCAATCAAGATATATACGCATGTTTTATTGACTATAATAAAGCATTCGATAAAGTACGACATGAACAATTAATGAATGTCCTGAAATCAAAGAAGATTGACTACAACGACCTCATCATCATCATCATTGGCTTTTACAACTCTTCGTGAGTTTTTGAAGCGTTTACTATTGCCTTTCATTGATTCCGATCCTGTGCTATTATTTCCCATGGCCTTACTTCCATCTTCTCCAGGTCTTCCCTGACTGCGTCTTTCCACCTTTTTCTAGGCCTTTCTGTCGATCTTTTACCATCTGGTCTTTCCCAAAACACATTGCTAATCAGTCTGTCGTCCTCACTCCGTACCACGGAGTGGTACTTCCTGCCCATCTTAATCTATTGGCTTTTATGTATCTTACGATGTTTCCTTTCCCGAAGAGAGTCTCTATTTCATTGTTGTATCTGCTCCTCCATTCATTTGTCACGCTTTCCCTGCAAGGACCATATATAATTCGCAGGATTTTGCGTTCCCATACTAATAGCTTATTGATTTCTTTCTTTCTCAATGTCCAT